TGATAATTTGAAAAATATCAAAAACTTTTCGCTTGGTTCACATAATTCAAAGTGAAACTAACAAAAAAAAAAAAAAAACCAGTGCAGTCATTCTGCTTAATTGTCCCGCGGAAAATTGTAAAAAACCAAAAATTCATTTTCAGACCATTCTGATCTTGTTGCAATGACCTACAGAAAACAAAAATTTGAAATAACAAATTTGGAATAATCATAAAATCTTTGTAAATGATCCAATACCTCTTTTCTAAATTCAATTAAACCAATATTTTTGCGAACAGTTTTTGATATTCTTCAAATTACCAAAAAAACAGACCAAAAAATTGATATTTTTTAAAAATCCTTGTACCTTCTTAAAAATTGACACATAGACGTAAAATCGAATCCTGAACCACTTTTCTCTCTACAATTTTTCGATTTCTGGTCATCCAACCCCACTTTTTACATATTTAAGGCGAACTTCTTAAATTTCCCGCCATAACTGTGGTCACATGATATCTGTCACAGTGCTTTTTTGTTGTTGATAGATATGCTGAATTGATCCCACGTAACATTATTTTTGATACCTTGATAATAAAATATTTTCCCATTTGTTGCAAACTTTTTGGCGGTCACTGTATATAGCTGTGATTCGGGCCATTTTTAGGTAGTTTGGGAATGTATTTTGTTTGATACACATGTTGATCAACTTTGTCAAAGGTATATAAGCAACAAATTCTTGACACCCTTTATCTGATGTTTAGATTATAGATGTCTCTGCAGTCTTGTTTTTTAGGTCTCAAATTTCGTATCTCAGGAGGTTGGATTAACGATGAAGCCAAAATCGACATTAGCAATGATTTCAAAGAATTTGTTTTTTCCTTTCTGCCTAATGGGTTGACAAAGTTTTATTGTAATTTTGCTGGTGTGTTTTTTGAGAGCGTAATTGACTGAAATCATCTAATCAGACTTACCCGGACTTATGATAGATGCTTCAAAATCGTACTCTGAAGAGTTATTGAAGATGTTATCGAGGCAATTTTTCCCTCGAGTAGGCTGAAAAATGATTTGTGATAACCCATAAGATGTAAACATGTCAATTGGGTTTCTGGACATTCTGTCTTCTGTGCAAAATCAGACGTTGAAATCACCTGCTACAATAATCCTGTTCTGAATGTCAATCTGTCCTAAAATGTGATCGAGTATATTCAAAGGGGTACGTAGTAAAATATCCTGCTGGAGAACGATAGATAGAAAGAAGTAATAGATTATAAGCAACTGACTTTGCCCCACAGACTTCAATGCATTTCTTTACACTTATTTGGTTAATATTTACTAACTCGGAAAAGTTTAATCCCCTTTCAAGCAAAATAATTAATGAAACCCCATTGGTAAAATTCGATCTACAAAATGAAGCTGCTACTTGAAAGTTTCCAATCTAAATTGTCTAATTCTTCAGTCTTGAGAAAATGCTCTGTAATACACATAATGTTAACGTCTTTATCTCAGGAGAAGGCTTCGAATTCTTCTGTAGCGTTTCGGATTGATTGGGCGTTATACATTTTGTACCCTTAATTTTCAGCATGTGTGGCCTGGTGTGCGTAAAGAGGTTTATTAGGACTCCTCTCCCCAGATATCTGGGATCATATTTTTGTGTGTTTCGATCTCAGTAACTTCAATTTTGAATGAGCTCTTATCTCTTGTCTTCATTTTATTACCTCTTGTGTCTGTCTGTGTGCTAGTTTTAATATACATTTGTACCTCTTCTTCGGTCACAGTAGGTGCAAGCCCTCTGAGACAAAGAGATAGGTACGTTTTTTTCTGTGCGACTTGTAGCTGAAAATTTTTGCATTCACCAAGTACTGGAGTATTTTCCTCGCACATGAAACTATTTTCCAGGAATCTTCATTTTCACTCTAATCTGACGGGCTGTTTTCTTGTGCTTTTTCCACCATTTGTTTTTTGTTTTCCTCAGCAGCATCCTATAAAGAACGAACAAGCAGACTGCGAAATTTCTTTGAGCAGGTGAATTTTCCCCTCCATAAAGCTATTAGAAACGCCGATAGGGACCTCTCTCCTTTAAGCCAAGCCGATTCTGACCAGCACCAACCTGAAAATGTAAACTTGGAACAAGAATCGAAAGCAAAGACGCTGCATGGACGGTACCAATCAAATCTGTATGGCCCAGAAACCGATCCACTGCTGTCAATGAAGTACCTTAAAGAGCGGTGTTTGAGGGCAGAGACTTAGGGGTTTGTCAGAGCTATACAGACCAGGGGGTACCAATTACAAAATTTCTCAAGTCTCAAAACAAATTTGATGTGATGATAAGTGCAGAATGACACATTCTGCTTCTCAGTCTAAAAAACATATCTTGACAGGGTGCACATCTTGCCCCACGGCACTACCTTGGAGCGACATAACACAGTGGCCGGTATTCTTCATCAGGAAAAACGTAAAAGCTAAAATCTGGTAGAGGAAAAAAAAAACCTTTAACTTATGCTCACCCGCGAAAATGATGATGTTAAAGTATATTGGGATAGAGATATTATTACTGACAGACAGGTAGAAGACAACAGACCTGATATCCTAATTTTCTAAAAAACGAAAAAGGCATATATTATAGACATAACTATCCCTCATGATGAAGATGTATGCAATGCTAGAAACGAGATGTCGAAATATCAAAACCTAAGACAGGAAATACCTAGTAGTTTCTCAAAAAATAATAAAGGTATTAAAGTAAAACATTTAAATAGGAAAAGAAAATTTATTCAGATTAATGGTAACATAATATTATACTTAGTACATAAAAACAACTAAAAAATAGATTCTAATAACCTAACATAAATACTCAACGAACAATTATTAAACTAATGTATGTACAGGGTTGTCGTTATGCATGGAAACGGTCTGATATTTCAGAACCGACTGAAGAAAAATGTACACAGATTTTTGCTGAAATGTATGGAAACCACAGATTAACAACTAAAAACAACAGTAAACATATAATTTGCGATCCAAAATCCATAAGGTCGATTTTTGCATGAAATGCCTGGTTGCCAGTAATCTGATGTGAATGCTTTTTTGTATCAATCTTTGTTGAAACATAACTCAAATGCCTTTTTGGATAGGATAGTTGGTCTTTTTTTAATTTCAATTGGTGAAAATTCTAGAATAACCAGAAATATATTGCTCGAAAAACGGCACATCGGCAACGTCGTATCTACGACCAGCCAATCAGATGATCATATGTGACTTATGTCATCCATAACGGATTTGGCAGTGTTGCTGTGAAGTGATAGTGCTAATTTTGTGATTTCGAGTGTTAATCAGTGGTATTTTTTTAAAACCGTGGAAAGTGTGGTGGAAAACGTTAAAATGGTGCGTCGATGTATTATTTGTAAGGATTCCTAGCACATTTTAATATTTCGGCGGTAAGATATTTGACATCATTTTACTCTTGACATTGTCGTAGGTATAGTTAGAGGATATTTATGATAATTTATTGTAAGTAAAATTTCTATTACATTCTGAACTCGCCGCCACTGGTAGTGGTAAAATCGACATGCGACACTGATGCCATTTTATATGTCTATCTCTCTCTTACTTTATGGGACTAAAAGATGATTGATTGTAAACATTGGGCGATTTCTAAATGGCACGTTTGGTCTCTAGATTTACTATTAGTCTGAGATGGGAACGGTCTTGTATTCTAGAACAGTCTTTAGAAAAATGTTCAATATTTCCTACCTGGGGCTACCAGCCCCCCTATAAATCTTAAATACGCATTATCACATTTTTCTAAAGCCTGTTCTGGAATACGAGACCACTTGCATACATTTCAACGAAAATCTGTGTTGCCATATTTCAAAAACCAAGTCAAATGGAGGTTTGGCATTGATTACAATAAAAATAAAAATAATCAGGGACGTCCATTTAAAAAAATCAAGTTACATACGGCATCTTATGCCGGTTTTCCACCAAACGGACTGTTGAGTTTTTGTTTTAAAACATGTTTTAAAACTCGAAATTAATCCGAAAAACAAAACTCCAAATGAGCAAAACACGCTAATCTTGAAAATGTTTGGGAAAAGTTGGAGTTTTGCCTGAGTTTAAGTTTTGTTTTTGTTTTGTAGGTTTGGTGGAAAACCGGCATTAGAAACGGTAAACTTGGCAATTTCGCAAATAACACCATTGATTCGGGCATACTCAAAAACCACCAGATATTATACATTTTTCTTAAGCCCGCTCTGAAATAGGTATAAGACTGTTTCCATACATAACGACAACCCTGTATATAAAAACGTTGTATCCTTAAATTTTATAAATATTTATAGAAAAATATATAGCTAATCAAGAACTATAAAATTCTATTAATGACTTTCGGTTCGAAAGTCTACCATCCTAGCATGTCTAATGCAAAAACCATATCGTCATTATAAACATAAATATGCTCAGGGAAATTTTGATCTCCGAGTAACGAATAGAGTTTAGATGCATGTCTTGGTCGGATGATTTCCACAACAAAAAAAAACTACTAGAATTGAAACAAAAGCAGCGTTACAATTGGGAAGTATGCCAAATATTTGGTCCCTTTTCGGCCTTTTCTGTCTTTTCGACGGTTTCAGAATCTATTTCCGTAGGAGTACTACTGGTACTTGGGTCAGACTTTCATCTAGACAGCCTAGGCGAATTTGTATTCGCCATCCAAAGTTAACAAACACTATAAAAAAATTACAGTCGGAAAGGACTGCTAAACAAAGAACCCCGCACTGGATAATGGTAAAATATATAGATTTTTTTATATGTTGGGCCTTGAGGTACTTTTTAAAACTTGTGCAAGTTTTCAAGACATCTCATGCTCATGTCTACTTTTCGATATGCATGGGGTTTAAGTTTTTTTGCCAGAGTCATTTGATGTAAGTAGGGGCTAAATACTTCGCCGTTACTAAAATTTTTTTTTTGAAATATAGAAGAATTTGACGCATATCCAATGGATTCCTTTATTAACAAGAAGAAAATTATGGATTTTCGCAAATCGTATAAATGTGTAGAAACATGTCCAAATCGATATGTCCTCCTCCATTTATGGGTGCCGGTACTCGGAGTGGATACAATCTGGTACCATTAGCTAGAGCGTGCAAGTACGGACACTTATTTCCCAGGCGGCAGTGGCTAAAGCCATTCCTGAAATATCTACAATCGGTTTGTAGCATTCGATTTTTTGCCTTGGTTATGAAATTATCTTTGGTTTCTTTCGTACGAAACCAAGTTTTACTAAAATACACATAGTCGGACGGCTGTCTACACAGAGGACACGCTCTTAACACATTCGAACTAACCCTACGTTTTCTCCATTTTATTATACATCTGAAACAAAAGCAGTGGTTACAATTGGGAAGAAGCCCAAATATTTGTTCTCTTCTGTTTGGCCTTTCCATGATTGCATCCAAGCATATAGCACATGATTCAGTAGCCGCTTCTCCGATACCTACGTCTTGGCTAGAAGAACCAGCTGCTTCAGTTTCTGCATCTTTTATATCTTTAACGCCAGATTCCGAACTAGACAGCGTAGGCGAATTTGTATTTGACATCTAAAAATAAAAAAACAAAAATTAAATTATTTATTTTCTCGCCAAGCTACTATACGTACAGCTTGCCTAGAAGAACCACTGTCGACAGTAGTTGCAGCAGCTGCTTCAGCTTCTGATTCTGTATTATTCACAACATCGGGTTGGATGTGCGGATTTCTGCACTGAACACCAAAGCTGCAGAATCCTTTTTGATAGTGATGGCATCGGGTAGGAAACTGCTCATGCCTAGGATTACCATGTTGCTGATCAATGTGATTGTTACGATATTCCATAGAAAACTCCATGATGCCAATTCGAGTTATTATTTCTTCCAGTAGAAACAATCACAGAAGCATTGGCTAATAGAAAGTGGAATAAGTACTAAAAATAAAAAACCATAGTTTTAAACTCCACAAAAATACCGCCCTTGTGTACAAAATGGGGCAACTGGGAAAACAAAGCAGAATTTTAAGTAAATATTTAAAACCGCATGAAGGTACCCTAGCGATAGCGAAAGAAACACAGAAAATAGAAAAGGGAGAATTCCAGGCCAGTATATATCGTTCAGTCATCAAAGTGATAGTGAACAGATAGATGTTGAAAAATGGCAGACTCGTCCAAAAATAAGAAAACATGAAACGTTTCTCAAGCAAAAAAATCAAAATGGAACACGAAACAAAGTAAAAGAAATAAAAGGAAATTTAACTGGTGCAAAGGAAACCGCATCTTGAGTGCAAATTCCTAAGGATTTTGAGAGTTTGGTTTGTGACTTGTTAACCTTCAAAAAATAAAAACACTTTGTGAGGAGATGTAAAAGGTAAATTAAAATTTGTGACAAAAAAAAGAGCAAAGAAAACTCTACAAACAACAACGGAAATTTTTAAGGGAATAGAAGTGATAACCTTAGCTTCGCATATATACAGGGTGTTTCAAATTCGAGAAAACATTGGGATCTCGGGAACGGTAAGAGATACAGGGCTGGCTAAATTAGGGCAAAATTGCGTAATTTGACGCTTAACAAAATACCGCTTTGATACTGAGGAAATTCCATATACTTCCGGAGATATCCGGAAAAAACCGGAGTTTTGCAAAATTGTTTTTATTTTTTCCTGATTTTATTTGAAGTGATATTTCAGAAAAAATAGACCTTCTGATGTCCCAAAACCTATGACGTATCGCATTTATTCGAAAAAAATTTTTTTTTCAATTTTTAGTAATTTCCAACCAACCTTTTCTATCTCTCTCTAACACATTTAGTTCTTATGGAAAGTACCAATATTATAAATTTTTTGAATAGGTGCAATACGTCATTTGTTTTGGGACATCAGAAGCCTCTAAAATAATCTAAAATAAGGGTCCGCATGTTCAAAAAAATGAAGTTGATGATGGTGGCCCAAAGACTAAACGTCAGATTTTTGGAAATTATGCAACTTTGCCCCAATTTAACCAACCGAATCCCGAACCCTGTATCTCACACCGTTTCCGAGATCCCAATGATGTGGCTCGAATTTGAAACACCCTGTACAGGGTCCGCCAACGAGCACTGAATAGGGCCTTTCCCTGTATTTTTGGAGAAAATGAAAAAAACAGCTCGATGATACCTTTTACGTGGAATTTAACAATGTTAATTGGAAAACAAAATAATTGAACCTCAAACAAAAGAGCTACGAGCTACGACGTAATCGGATACCCGATTTTTTATATCATATTATTTGAAAAGTGAGTATTTTTTTACGTATGCTACAATATCTATTTTGTTGATAATGTTTTTAACATTATCGCAATATATTGCAAGAAACCGCGTTATCCAATAATTTCACGGCAATATAAGGTAAAGAATTACCTAGGTTACCTGGTATCTATCACCCCCGCCTGAGAGTTTTTGTCAAATTAACATAAAATGAAATATTCGTTAGAGGAGAGATTACAAATTGTAGATAATCCTTTTCTACAAAAGTCAAGAAAACGCACGAGAAGCTAAGCAAAAATATTTTGCTACCTACCGAAGAAACATATCCGTAAATACGATGTTAAGAATAAAAAAATTATTTGAAGAAACAAAATCTTTGCGTGACAAAAAAAGACGTTCACAAAAAACAAGGATTTGGGACCAGGCTATTGTAAATTATTTTACACATTATCCTACTAATTCAGTTGCCGATGCACTTCGAGATATCCATCCAATATGATCATGCAAGACGAAGAGTTAGTTCCGGAACTGTTGGCAGAGCATTAAAGCGATATACAATGGTCCTATTTTACATTTTTTGATTCTCTCCTGTTCAAAAAATAAAGCCTACACAGAAAGAATCCCGAATTAGGCAATAAGATCACGACCCTATCGAGGCCTCGTTTGCAGCTTGAGGCAGGTTCAACCGTCATAATAAACACCACTAGGCAACTGAAAATTCAAGACAGTTTAACTTTTGTCAATATTTGTTGCGGCATGATAAATAACAGATTTTAGGGTAGTATTCTATAATGGAACATTAAATGGCCAAAGATACCTCAACTTTCTTCTACACCAAATTGAGGATCTATGAGAAGAACTGCCGTTGGAAACGTATCGCACACTTATTTGGCAACAAGAAGGAACTCGACATGCAGAGTAGATTGGACGCAAAGGAACAATTGATTGGGTACCAAATAGTCCGGAGCTATCACATTTGGATTCGTTTCTCTGGGACCACCTAAAAATTGTAGCGTACCAGCAAAAAAACATTAATCTTGAAGAAATAATGGCCAAAATTGTTAATGAAATTAACAGACTCAATCGCTTGGGTTAGGTTAGGTAAGTTTAAAAAAATTGTTTTCGGGGAGGTGTAGCAACGCACGTAGGGTACAGCTAGTATGATATAAATGTTGCAATTTTGGCCATGTCGCCGAATACTGTAAAACAGAAGATTGCTGTCACAAGTGTGGTAGCAATCACGAGGCTATTAAATGTCCTGTTCTGTTAAAAATGTCAAAACATCAGGGGGATAATATGCGTGGTGATGTTTGATTGGCTGTTAAAATAAAAAACTACAAAACGTGTGTGATGAATTTAGATTATAATGTGCCGTGTATAGATTTTTAAGGGGTTTTGTTGCGGCTAATAAACATCATCCTGACATTGTAATGTGTAAATTATACAACCAAATGTGCCTATTCAACTTGTCTATATTTTTGCGTGCTAATTAACTGTGCTCCCCGTGTGCTTCATTGTGCTGCTAATATTAGGAACTGTGCTAAGTTGCACACATGCTATGAGGAGGCAACTTGACGCTCAACCCTCCTATTTTTTCGATTATGTCATGAAACAAAAGCAAGAATGAATGCAACTTTTCCCTACAACTCCCTATTTATTTGAATAAATTATCAAACAAAATTCAAAATTAATGCAACTTTTAGTGTGCTGAACTGAGCTGAACTGTGCTGTTGATAGTTTTAGTTTTGAGTGAATTTTTCATTCGATTTTCAAAAAAATGCTTTGGATGTCCCCTCATTTTTTCGATAATTTTATGTTAATATTTCAAACTTAATTTTTCGCTTAACCTTCGTTTTTCAAAAAAATGCTTTGGTTGGGTCACTTGACGCCCAGCCCTCATTTTTTGGAATATCAAACGAAAGCAAAAATTAATGCATTTTTTAGTGTACTCTGAATTGTGCAAGCTCAACACACGACACAGCCGTCTAAATACAACTAGGCAAAATATGTGGGGTCGAGTCTAAAATGGATCCACCAAACAGTATAAAAGCCCGTGGTCGCAAATACATCATTCGTTTCGTGACCAAAAACTGAGCAGGTCATCGCTCAGATCAACCTAAAAGAGGTACAAAAGTTAATCTGTCTAGGGATGACAGGGGCGATATCAGGCTGCCTTACCGTAGCCTTAGAGACGCTGCCTCCACTCCACCTAAGTGCGGAAAAAGTGGTAATCATTAGCGCTCACAGTTGGCTATTTCAGAGGGATAACTCAAAGCCCGGAGATCTGGGAGGTCACCAGCACCTTTTCGGAAAAAAAGAAAACTAGAAAATTCCGACTGACCAAATGACGGGCTCCTTGGCACTAGAGATTCCATTTGTTGGGGGGATAAACGACCGCCAATCATGGAAGCTCGGAAACTTCAAGCAATTCCAGTCAGTGGGCAAATATCCAAGTTGAATTGGGCACAAGAATGTCCAAATCAAAGACCCAAAAGAAAACATCTTTATACAGACAGCCAAGCGGCGCTAAGGGTTTCGAAGGCCTGCAAATGCGAATCAAGTCTAGACTGGGAATGCAAACAGACCCTAAAACACTAACGATGCACAACGTGGTAACCTTTATATGGTTAGGGGTGACCGGGGCATAGCTGACAACGAAGAAGCAGGTAACATCGCAAAACAAGGCCTTGAAATACCATCCCATGGTCCAGAGCCTCACTGTGGCCTAATGAAGAGTCACGTAACGAATGAACTGAACAAATGAGAAAACGACCAATTGTCAACTCCAGAACTGAGACAGGCAGAAAAGTTTATCACCACATCACAAAAGAGAGTAGAACAGCTCTCAGCTCTAGTTCATTCTATACAGTACATTCTATATATGAACAGAAAAGGTACCCAATGGTCGTCGGACTGCTTTTGCTTTATAGGCCGAGAAAAACAAATTATAATATCTTTATTTGTGAATTACAAGACTTTACAAACAGGCGAAGTTGAAGCTTAACTTCCTAACTTAACCTATATACATACTATAATTTAGCTTACATAACATTGTTTTACAATATTTGTGTTTAAATACAAATTCTTACATCCACGTAAATACCCCTACCCGCAGTAATCTAATCTTTTAGTCACGGAGTACAAAGGAATACATCGGAGTACATGAAAATACATGCGAATACATGAGACTACCTACATAAAAATACATTAGAATACAAAAGAATACATATGATTACATAAGAATACATGGAGCATACATAAGAAAACATTGAATTACCTACATGAGAAAATACATGGGACTACGAGGCTTGTACACTGAATAATACATAGGCGGTTAACCTCTCGCTCTCACATTTTAATTTTTGTTCTGGAAACTATAAAGGAGTGAGGAAAATTGTGAAACTTTCAGAGAAAAAAGAGGAAAGTTAGGAGCTCATCATAATAAAATTTCAAAACTTTCCAGTGAAAAATAACAAAATGGAAAAATAATGGAAATCGACATCTAAATTAAGCAAAAATGCACCATCATACATTTCATTTTTTTTTCTAGAAAACTACTGCAGGGAAAATTATTAAATTTTCAGCAGAAAAAGTTGAAAGATAGGAGCTCATCAT